TGCCAGTCAGTCAGTCTCAAAGGTATGAGCACTACAGCATTGTGGATTGCTATGAATGCTTTGTTTTTCAAGCGTTAGTATCAGTCGGGCGCTTAAAGTCGACCGCGACTTGGAAACAAAAGATAAGCGGCGATTTTTTCACAGGTTTCGCTTTTTCTGCAACGAATTTCGTGTGGAATTTTATGCGTTCGGATAAATTTATTCGAAATCAAGGTCGATTGTCCTTGTAACTTCCTAAACTTCCTGTTTGAATTATTTCTAGCTTTCAAAAGCGTAAGATGGTCTTTGGCCCTCTGATCATGCTCACAGTTCTTTGAAGAAGTCAGCTTCAACTATATTTCGGTCAGCTATCATTTTTATTTTTACAAGTAGAGTTGTTCTGCACAACACTTTGTAGCCTTTTTTTACACAGGTTCTCTCACATCCCTTATCGTCGCACAGTTAGTTTGAAAGGAAGTTAAATGTATGCAGTTTTTGAAGAGGCCTTATCAGGATAGGCTAGTGGCAATGAAAATGTAACATTTTGTCCCATAAGGCATTAAGTGATTTTGCTTGGTGAATGAGACTATCTTGATTATTTGGAAATGCGGGAGATCAGCTATCAATCGTTGCCGTCTATCTGCCTTAGTCGACAATTAATTGGCTACCCTCGATGCACCAATCACAATCCGAGGAGGATCTGGAGGTGAAGCTATTGGATAATGCAAAGGCCTCGGTGTCGACCTTGCTCTACCCTGATGAGATTGATGGAATAGATGGGAACGGCATGTTAGAAAATATGGAGGAACGACAGGATGATGACCTCTTTGCGGTAGGCTAGTTTGCAGGTCAAATAAAGCCTACTAAATCATTGCTTGGCCTTGGGATTTTGCTTCTGAATGCTTGTGACATATTGCAGGAGACTTTATGGTTCTTCTCTGTTAATCAAAATTTGTGAGTTGTTGATATTCTCAGGTAATCTCTTATCATCCGTGGTAATGTGAACTCATAATTTCACAAATTGTTTTCTTGGCTTCATTTATAAGCAGTGAAAGCAGGCACAGAAATTAAATTACCAAAAGTAAAGATAACGTCTCTTGACGACTGTTGAAAATGAGGTTGCAGATGTTGGGTGTGACGATGAGCTGATTCAAGGCAGTCTTAAATTCATCGTGGAGGAGGGAGATGTCTGAGTAAACAGATGCTATATGAAGCGTTAATCCATTTCTATCCTTTCTCTTTAGTCCATTCTGGATTCCTCCGTTTCCTCAGAGCCATTCTTTAATGAAAATTTCGTAGAAAACTCAGCCGAATCAACTTCTGCCTTAACAGTAAGAGAGTAAGTTATTGTTTCGCCTATTAATAATTTCATGAATCGAAGGAATCGCTAAAGTACCCTTTACCCCATAGATCAACTTCCCTTCATCTACCTCAGGTAGATGGTGCTGATGACACACGGGCAAAACGAGGTTAGTATTCTGGGATTTGATTGACTTAGTCCACTCCAGTCTTTTGATTGATTGGTTCTGGTACCCTTAAGACGTTTTTCTGATGTATTATTCTACTTGTGTTTGGTTCTTTTTCTTCTATAACGTGTAAGGCGAGTTCACCGGAAGTTGGTATCGTAGATGTACGGAGAGGTCTGGGTCATTGGAAGTGTGGATGTTGTAATTGAGGCAATTTCAGGCATTTTCTGTTATTTGAGTGCATCAGGGAAGGCGATAACGGAACCACTAATTAGCGGGCTGACCGTTAAATGATTTTAATTCACTGTAATGCAGCCTCTGTCTGTAAGCATCGTGTAAACTCAGCATTGAGCAGTTCACAAAAGTAAGTACCATTTTCTAGTCGTTAGTTCTGAAAGTGGTTCTGTTGTAAACGTGTTTAGGAGCCTGAAAGTTGGCAACACAAATGGTTTAGGCATAGCTCTATGCTAAAAGTGGTCACGTCAAGTCATGCAAGAAATATTTCTCATATAGTCTGCGGAAATGCATCAGGCACCATTTTTGTTTACGCCTTCTTCAGTCAACCGGAGAACTCGAAGACGTCGCCTAGGACTTCGCTTGATGCCCAGGCATACGCACTCCTTGGTTAGCTCCCCTCATTCGTCATCCATCAATAGTGCTTCAGAAGCGAAATTATCCACTCCTCTTCGCGAACGCCGCAACAACATGACCTACATCATCGATAATGACGATGTTGAGGAAGGAGAGGATGTTGATTCCTCTTTAGTGTTGAGGTTTCCCCCTGAAGCATCACAAGTCCTAGAGGATGAGGCGCAAAACGTGGAGGCGATCAAGCCTCTTCCGTGTCATTTGGGTGATACTGATTTTGCTCTCCATTCCTCGGTCTACCTCACCCTCCGAGATCCACCGGCTCCACCTTCTTATTGTCAAGTGGAGGCAGAAATGAATCTACTCAAGACAGATTCTCCTCAACCAGTCACTGTGTCTGCACCATCAGCTGATAAGCTGGAAATCGATTTGTCAGCCTCATTGAGTATCCTCTGGTCCCAGGAAGAGCATCAGAGGAGGATGAATTCGTGCACTGGCAACTCAAGATTAATATCGTCTTCATCTTCCTCATCATCCAATCCGATTGGTAGAAGGGCCTTCCTTCCTGTTCAGGTGAGGGAGAATTGTTATCTCGACTTTTCATGTCGCATTGATTTCCTTACTATTGCCGATCTACAGTTGGTGTTGCTGATGGTTGAGGTGGCTAAAAGGTTCTTGTACTTCGTTGAACAATATGTTGGGTTTAATATTTGGTGATCACAACTGATTTTTCCTGCTTCAGACACTACAAATCTTCAGCAGATTGTGACAAGGCTTGCGACATGCGCACGTAATTTTTGAATGAATTCTACTTCCTCATTAGCAGCACATTGTAATGAATGTGGCATCTCGAGACGTCACCTCTTCTGTTTAGGATATTTAGTTTAAAAAGCAGTTAGTATGACTCAAAGAAGCTTTATTTACAGCTTATCTACCTGTTTTATCGAAGGCGTTTCCCAATGTAGCCCTTCTGCCACAGTGCGCTGATTGTTTCAATGTTCCCATTTGTTTGATTTTTACTTCTGATTCTCATGATGAATTTCTGTGGTTAATGCTTTAAAACTTTATTCAGTGGCTATTTTACTAAAATTCAGGAGAATCACTGTACCTTGGCGTCCCTAGAAGTCCTCTGTCATATCCGTCGTCAAGCTGGATCTCCCACCGCTATTCATCGCACCAGTCAAGCTATTTCAATCTCTAGTTTAGGTGGGTTCTTTGCTCCTAACCCTCAGTTGGACTGCATTTTGGCGGCTTCCTTGGCATTCTCATCGTCTGTCTCTCCAACTTACCTCCTTGTTGTCGTGGAGCCTCAGAAACCTCCACTTTCTCTTCCCATTTCTCACCGGCGGTCAACACTTCCAGCACTGATTATCTGTAATAGTGAAATAGACCTACTTAACTGGATTATCTACTTGATTCAGAGGTGCGTGAGTGGAAAACTGAATGACAGCTTCCTGCTCCTTTGCCATAATTGTTGTGCTTTTGGTAGTTTTGATCCGGACATCTTACTCGGATACGATGTGGAACGATGGTCATGGAACTATGTGGTTCAACGAGCTGCAAGGATCGGGCGTGTAGGATTTCTGCGTGATATTTCACGGCTCGCTCCAGGTCAGTTGTTTTTCGCATAATTATCTTCAATGGACAAACAGATGGTTAAATAAGAATTACTTGGTTTTTCGGTGGTTGGTTGATCCAATCATTTAAGTCAAAATCACGCTAGTACCGATTTGATTGGTAGCTCACATTGAATTGCTTATTTGACTCTTCTCAATTATTTTTTTTAAACAGCCTTCTTAAGTTCATGTTGAGAGTTTTATTTAGTTTGAAGTAATCATTTACCACATTCACACTACTTTTGATCCAAGGGGATGTTTTCAGCTTTGAAGAGAACGATTTGCGGGCTTATCAGTAGAAACAACTCATGGAAAATGGTGGATGTGTGTGGGACAGGGATTGATTGATTTGTCAAGGTTAGATTGGACAGGTTGGTGAAGAGGTAGTTGAATATGATATGAATACAACAATGATGCTATTGGTAGTTGGGCTCAAATGTGAAATGTGCGTTATCGTAGAATCGATGCATCGGGAGTAGTTTGTTATCTTCAGCATGCATCAACGTATCAAGGGTCGGTGAAAATCTGGGAGGGCACGCCACGGATAGGTCAATAATTCGACTGTATATAAATTCTTTCACCATAAACAGTTGGATTCGGTTCCAATGAGTTAATCAGAGCTGGGTTAAGATAGGAGTAGTGAGTTATTACCTGATCCATTTACAGATGCTAACGACCCTCCTTGTTTCCTTGCTTTCGCATTTCAGAGCACCTAAGCTGTCCCTTTTGTCTTGACTGCATGTCAAAATGCTCAGGTCTCGTTCCTGGCGATCGACTTTTCGTCTCTAGTGTTTCCTCCTCATGCTCCTGCAATGCTGATGTTGGCAGCTCGCGCACCCGGCCTTCCTTTTCTGCATGGCCTTGCGAACCGGGCCGCGGGCGCTCAGATGCTCCTTTTGCCTGCCCTGGTCGCCTAGTTTTCTCTCTCTGGCATCTCCTCAAATATGAGGTGTGTCTTCACTTTTTGCCTCACTGTCCCGAGATTTCCATTTTTGACCATCGTAAAGTATACTGCTTCGCCTTAGACTTGAAATTCTGCTGTTTTTGACTTGTAAATTTTTTATCATTTTAAAGT